CTGTAGATGATCTGACTGTGTGTCTGTAGATGATCTGTCTGTGTCTGTAGATGATTTGACTGTGTGTGTGTGTGTGTGTGTGTCTGTAGATGATTTGACTGTGTTTGTCTGTAGATGATCTGCCTGTGTGTGTCTGTAGATTATTTGACTGCGTGTGTCTGTAGATGATCTGACTGTGTGTCTGTAGATGATCTGACTGTGTGTCTGTAGATGATCTGTCTGTGTGTGTCTGTAGATGATCTATCTGTGTGTGTCTGTAGAAGATCTGACTGTGTGTCTTTAGATAGTTTGACTGTAGATGATCTGACTGTGTGTCTGTAGATGATCTGTCTGTGTCTGTCTGTAGATGATCTGACTGTGTCTGTAGATGATCTATCTGTGTGTGTCTGTAGAAGATCTGACTGTGTCTTTAGATAGTTTGACTGTGTCTGTAGATGATCTGACTGTGTGTCTGTAGATGATCTGTCTGTGTCTGTAGATGATCTGTCTGTGTGTGTGTGTGTGTGTGTGTGTGTGTATATGTGTGTGTGTGTCTGTAGTTGATCTGACTGTGTCTGTAGATGATCTGACTGTGTGTAGATGATCTGTCTGTATGTGTCTGTAGATGATCTGTCTGCGTGTCTCTCTAGATTATCTCTGTAGATGATCTGTCTGTGTGTTTGTAAATTATCTGACTGTGTGTGCCTGTAGATGATCTGACTGTTGATGTGTGTATTCTGCTCTCTTTCAGTCTTGCTGGCTGTAATCTCACTGCTCAGTGTTGTGAGAGTTTGTCATCAGCTCTACAATCCTCAAACTGTGTCCTGAGAGAGCTGGATCTGAGTAACAATCACCTGCAGGACTCTGGTGTAAAGTTTATTTCTGATGGACTGAAGAGTCCAAACTGTCAGCTGCAGATACTGAGGTATTAAGAACATATAAGAGATCATTTACAGTCAACTGATCACAATGTTGATGTGTGTCTGTAGATGATCTGACTGTGTGTGTCTGTAAATGATCTGTCTGTGTGTGTCTGTAGATGATCTGACTGTGTGTGTCTAGATTTTCTGTCTGTGTGTCTTTAGATGATCTGTCTGAGTGTGTGTCTATAGATGATCTGACTGTGTCTGTAGACGATCTGACTGTGTGTGTCTGTATATGATCTCTCTGTGTGTCTGTAGATGATCTGACTGGGTGTCTGTAGATTATCTGACTGTGCGTGTGTGTGTGTGTGTAGATTTGAGGCTCTCAACCTTTCGGAACTAAAGCCCCCAATGATTAACTTGATAATATCTATCTATATAAATCCTATATTTTATTTAGATAGATAGATAGATAGATAGATAGATAGATAGATAGATAGATAGATAGATAGATAGATAGACAGATGTAAGAATACTTTTTTAGTATTTTTGTACTTTTTAAAAAAAAAACTTTCATAACTTTTATGAGTTTTATAAATCTATATAATAGGACAGATAGCTAGATAGTTATGGAACGTGGCCAAAAATGATCAAGAATGTTTCTGAAAATTGTAACTACTTTGAACAAGAGAACTTAAAGTAGCCTATAGGTTTTAATGTGTAAACTCTAAATAACGTGTAAGTATTATTTTATGTGTAAAACATGTTGCATTTCATTCGTTCGTTGCATTCTACAAGCATTCGCATACTATCCGCCCTAAATAATATTCAATATTATTTAGGGCTGATATTATGCAAATTGGGACGCAGGGCGCGTCTGTTTCTCATTAGCCATGGCATCGTTAAATCAATCAGTGGGATACCTGTGCTTGCTTCTTTTTACAAAGAAGCACAATTCGTGGTTCAATATTGGACAGCGCAAGCCTCAGGTCATCCTCCACCTGGAGCCGATTTCGGTACTTTGTTTTCAAAAGAAACAATTTTGAAAACCCGGCCTCGCACAGATAAGTTGAGGCGAATGGAAGAAGTAATTTTACGGCGGCGTCAGATAGCTGAGGATATTCAGGCATCACGCTCAACCAAAATGATGGCAGAGAGGAAGAGCTGTAGAAGTGTCGCAATCTAGTGTCGCTCATTAGTTCGACTAACTGCTCCCCCATGTCAACTGGAAGGTCTTTTCCTGGGCAACTGAAGGGATCTCTGACCCAAGCAAATGAACTGAAATACTCAGTGAAATAACGGCCGAATTGTTGGTTTAGTCCCTCAACATGTTGTGCGACTGTGTTAATCAAAGGAGAGATATTTATCCCTGTCTCTTGCACACAGTCGGCGAAGTTGGGAAACATGTCAACATTTTTATTAATCAGCCGATCACGCCAAATATCCAGTTTGCCAACAAATGCACTGACTTTGTCTGAAAGGAGCAAGATGTTGGCATCTCTCCCTTGCATCGATGTGTTCAGCGAATTCAACCTGTCGAAAATGTCTACAAGGTACGACAACTGCGCTAACCACAGGGGGTCATCCAGGTACTGCGCAAGGTCAGACTTCACATTAACAAGAAATGTCTTCACCTCTGAACGCAATTCGTAGAGGCGATGTAAAACCCGACCTCTGGAGAGCCAGCGTACCTCAGTTTGAAAAAGGAGCTGCTCGTGTTTGGCTCCCATTTCCTGACAAAGCAAGGAAAACAAGCGTGTATTTAATGGCCGTGCTTTAATTAAATTGACAATTTGCACTGCCTGCTTTAAAACGGCCTCAAGAGACTCAGACATTTGTTTTGATGCGAGAGATTCACGATGAATCATACAGTGGGTCCACTTGGCTAAAGGGGCTAAATTCTGGACACGAGTGACAAGACCGCTAATCCTCCCAGTCATTGAACGGGCCCCGTCCGTGCAAATCCCAACACATTTATCCCATGACATGCCTGCATCCCGTGTATATCCATCCAGAACTTCAAACAATGCTTCGCCAGTTGTGTGATCTGGAAGAGACCGACAGAAAATAATGTCCTCCTCAATATTCCCATTTTTGACATATCTGACATAGGTAAGCAACTGTGCTAGCCCTGCAACATCAGTTGTCTCATCAAGCTGTAGGGCATAGTACTGGCTTTGCATGATGTTAGCTAGCAATTGCTCTTTAACGTCGCTTGCCATGTCAGATATGCGGCGGCTAACGGTGTTGTTAGAAACGGCGATGTCTCTAATCTGCTGAGCAAAATGATCTCCAAACATGACCTGACAAATATCTTTGGCAGCAGGTAAGATTAGCGCCTCTGCAATTGTGTGAGGTTTTCGTAGTCGGACGCTTCTAGACACCTGTTGGACACTGTTGTGTGTTTGCTGATGTTGCATTTCTGTTGTTCAAGGCCAGATAACTTTAATTTGAAAAAATCTAAGGGTTTGTCTTTGAGTGTCGGGTGTTTTTGTTTCTAAATGGCGCTTCAGCTTGCATGGCTTCATGCTGTCATTTGCCAGCAGATCTGCGCATATGACACACTGGGGCAGTGGTTCAGCATCTGTCCCAGCCACCGTAAAGCCAAACTGAAGATAGCTAATGTCGTAATTTAGTGTTTTACACTTCTTAGGGGTAGGAGCTGATGATGCATCGTCGTCACAACTCCTTTTCGTACGTGTGATGAACTTATCCATAAACTTCCCAAAATCTGTAAATCTGTTCGTCACTGATGTTCTGAAACATGTCTGCACTGATAGCTGGATAAAAGGCAGGCTAAGCAGGGTTTTTTTCCTTTTTTCCAGGGTTTTTCCATTTTTCCATTTGTGTATATTCTACTTGAAACGCAATAAAATGCAAAAAATACGATTACCCAAATAATGCCTTGTCTCTGTTTTTTCTTTCTTCACTGAAGAGCACACCCGCACAGTAAGCAAATTATCTCTATAATTAACTCTTAGCATCTGTATTACCTTTTAGTCTACTTCTCGTAAGATTGAAACCATTGTACCAGTCGCCCTAAGACAATTCAAATGATACCAAACATGACTATGAATATCACTTGCATTCAAGAGAGCTGGAACAATGACCTGCAGGACTCTGGTGTAGAGTTTATTTCTGATGGACTGAAGAGTCCAAACTGTCAGCTGCTCAGCTGCAGGTAATAGTTTTACATAAAATTTTTAACATGCTACCACAATAAATGGCAGCTGAATTTTGTCAAAAAAAAAAGTTTCTTCTGCTCTCAATGGCATTCCAGAACTAGAGACAAAAACAACATTTGCAGGCGTTTTTTCATATTTATACAGATGTCTGAAGATGTGGATTGCACTAAGATTGAAATGGCCAGAAACAATTGCTAAAACTGCTGCATTTTCAAAGATAGCTTCTGACAGCACTGCACAAGCTAGCAGCATAGCATCTAGCAGCCGTGTGCAGGACACCCTTAGCATCTTGGCTAGGGTCCAAATTTAACATGGCTCTGGCAAGTATATGAAAAGGGTTTTACTTGCCAGATGGCTGGTAACTTATTTATAAATTCTAACAATGCATGGTTGTGATGTGCTAGCCCTGCAACATCAGTTGTCTCATCAAGCTGTAGGGCATAGTACTGGCTTTGCATGATGTTAGCTAGCAATTGCTCTTTAACGTCGCTTGCCATGTCAGATATGCGGCGGCTAACGGTGTTGTTAGAAACGGCGATGTCTCTAATCTGCTGAGCAAAATGATCTCCAAACATGACCTGACAAATATCTTTGGCAGCAGGTAAGATTAGCGCCTCTGCAATTGTGTGAGGTTTTCGTAGTCGGACGCTTCTAGACACCTGTTGGACACTGTTGTGTGTTTGCTGATGTTGCATTTCTGTTGTTCAAGGCCAGATAACTTTAATTTGAAAAAATCTAAGGGTTTGTCTTTGAGTGTCGGGTGTTTAGTTTCTAAATGGCACTACAGCTTGCATGGCTTCATGCTGTCATTTGCCAGCAGATCTGCGCATATGACACACTGGGGCAGTGGTTCAGCATCTGTCCCAGCCACCGTAAAGCCAAACTGAAGATAGCTAATGTCGTAATTTAGTGTTTTACACTTCTTAGGGGTAGGAGCTGATGATGCATCGTCGTCACAACTCCTTTTCGTACGTGTGATGAACTTATCCATAAACTTCCCAAAATCTGTTCCGCTGCTAGTCACTGATGTTCTGAAACATGTCTGCACTGATAGCTGGATAAAAGGCAGGCTAAGCAGGGTTTTTTTCCAAGCCGAGCGGGTTTTTCCATTTTTCCATTTGTGTATATTCTACTTGAAACGCAATAAAATGCAAAAAATACGATTACCCAAATAATGCCTTGTCTCTGTTTTTTCTTGAAAACCATTTGCACTCCCCCTGTTGAGAACCACTGGTGTAGATGATCTGACTGTGTGTGTCTGTAGATGATCTGTCTGTGTGTCTCTGTAGATGATCTAACTGTGTGTGTTCTGCTCTCTTTCAGTTTTGCTGTCTGTAATCTCACTGCTCAGTGTTGTGAGAGTTTGTCATCAGCTCTACAATCCTCAAACTGTGTCCTGAGAGAGCTGGATCTGAGTAACAGTGACCTGCAGGACTCTGGTGTAGAGTTTATTTCTGATGGACTGAAGAGTCCAAACTGTCAGCTGCAGATACTGAGGTATTTAAGAACATATAAGAGATAATTTACAGTCAACTGGTCACAATGTTGATGTGTGTCTGTAGATGATCTGACTGTGTGTGTCTGTAGATGATCTGACTGTGTGTGTCTGTAGATGATCTGACTGTGTGTGTCTGTAGATGATCTGACTGTGTGTGTCTGTAGATGATCTGACTGTGTGTGTCTGTAGATGATCTGACTGTGTGTGTGTCTGTAGATGATCTGACTGTGTGTGTGTCTGTAGATGATCTGACTGTGTGTGTCTATAGATGATCTGACTGTGTGTCTATTAGGGCTGCCCCCTAATAGTTGACTAATCGTTAGTTGACCAGAAGAGGCTTGGTCGACTAAAATTTTATTAGTCACTTAGTTGCAGAAAAAAAATTCTACGGGCGAAGTCATGCAGTCCATGATGGACAGATCGTTAATGGCTAGTCTATGGTAATACAGTACATTGACGAGCAGGACATCCAAACGCTCGGCTATCATTCATCGATCTCTCAAATATGGCGGATCATCTGAAATATGTAAGTATTAGCAACTTTACATGGACGCTCAGTCTAATGTTAACCAGGAGAAATGTGCGCTATAGTGTCTGTGTGGAGTGTGAAGCTGAACAGTAGCACTCGCTGCAGGACAGATGGAGGCGCCGGTGCACTCACTTGCTCTTAAAAGAATCCCTCATTTTTGGTCATACAGATAAGAGTAATACATCTTTCAAATCTGTAAAGACTCACAATACCGCACTTTTGTAAAATAATGAAAGCAAACATGATGGAAATATCGCTGGAAATGAAGTGTCCCCAACTAAGCAAGCCAGAGGCGACAGCGGCAAGGAACCTAAACTCCATCGGTGACAGAATGGAGAAAAAACCTTGGGAGAAACCAGGCTCAGTCGGGGGGCCAGTTCTCCTCTGACCAGATGAACCAGCAGTTCAATTTCAGGCTGCAGCAATGTCACATTGTGCAGAGGACTCATCTGGTTCCTGTGGTCTTGTCCCGGTGGTCGTCTGAGACAAGGTCTTTACAGGGGATCTGTATCTGGGGCTCATCTAGTTGTCCTGGTCTCTGCTGTCGTTCAGGGCTGTGGAGGTCCTTTCTAGGTGCTGATCCACCATCTGGTCTGAATACGTACTTACTATTAAACTGTGAGGGAATATTTAGATCAGGTGGCCCGTCTGGTTATTTTTTATTTTATTTTTTTTTAGATGTGACATGTGGCCAAGTTTGGTGACCCATACTTGGAATTAGTGCTCTGCATTTAACCCATCCAAAGTGCACACACACAGCAGTGAACACACACACACCGTGAACACAGACCCGGAGCAGTGGGCAGTGGGCGGCGCCCGGGGAGCAGTTGGGGGTTCGGTGCCTTGCTCAAGGGCAGCTCAGTCGTGGTATTGAAGGTGGGAGAGAGCGCTGTAGAGAGCGCTGAGCTGCGTTTACTCCCCCCACCTACAATCCCTGCCGGTACGAGACTCGAACCCGCAACCTTTGGGTTACGAGTCCGACTCTCTAACCATTAGACTTAATCTAGCCACTGTGCTAAATAAAAACCTTGGATTGTTTTGGTTATTTTCTATGAGTTTGTGGATATGCTTGGCCCTGGCAGCTTTTTAGAGCCTGTCTATAGCTGGACATACTGTTTTTCCACGCAATTCTAAAAACTTCCAAGTTATCTGTTTTTTGTTCAGCCTCCTTACTGTTTTCCCTGACACATTCATAATCATTTCTTCTGCCAGTGCGCTGTGGCAAGCTTTATGTGTGTGCTTGAGCGTTTATTAGGCTATGTATGCAATTAAAGGCTCATTATAATGATTTAAATGGTTTATTAATCAATGTGCGATTAGTCGACTAATGCTTCAAATGAACGACTACTAGTCGACCAGAAAAATCCTTAGTCGAGGGCAGCCCTAGTGTCTATAGATGATCTGACTGTGTGTCTGTAGACGATCTGACTGTGTGCGTCTGTAGACGATCTGACTGTGTGTGTCTGTAGATTATCTGACTGTGTGCCTGTAGCTGATCTGTCTGTGTGTGTCTGTAGCCAATCTGTCTGTGTGTGTCTGTAGATGATCTGACTGTGTGTCTGTAGATGATCTGTCTGTGTGTGTCTGTAGACGATCTGACTGTGTGCGTCTGTAGACGATCTGACTGTGTGTGTCTGTAGATTATCTGACTGTGTGCCTGTAGCTGATCTGTCTGTGTGTGTCTGTAGCCAATCTGTCTGTGTGTGTCTGTAGATGATCTGACTGTGTGTCTGTAGATGATCTGTCTGTGTGTGTCTGTAGACGATCTGACTGTGTGCGTCTGTAGACGATCTGACTGTGTGTGTCTGTAGATTATCTGACTGTGTGCCTGTAGCTGATCTGTCTGTGTGTGTCTGTAGCCAATCTGTCTGTGTGTGTCTGTAGATGATCTGACTGTGTGTCTGTAGATGATCTGTGTGTCTCATGGGCGGCACTAGGGAGGGGCTAGCAGGTGCTTCAGCACCCCCAAGAAAGACAAAATCACCCCCACAGATTTTTTTCCTGGAATCAATTATGTACATGCTGTAGCCTATTGCATTTAATAAATAAGCTGATAATAAAAAAAGAAACAAAATGAATAAATAAAAAAAAAAAAACATTTGACTCCTTACGCATGCATAACTCGTGCAATGCAATAACGACGCGATTTGCAGCTGTCGTATTTTTTGTAATGTCATTATAGCATTTTATTAAAAAAATGTAGCGCTTCTTTGTGCTAAGTAAGCCTGCCCCCGACTAAAGATTTTTCTAGTCAACTAGTCACACATTGTATTAAATTGATTAATATAATAATAGCCTATGCTAAACCATCCTTTAATATATAGGCAGGCGTATTATAGCCTATTCCGCGCTCAAGCTCGCTCATAAAGCAATTGACCTATCGGTAAGCCCCGCCCCCCTTAGATACTGTTGCGAACTCGGACAAACAAACAGAGCTGCTCACTGTCTCACAATGACAGCTGTCAGTGTGAAAACCTTGTCCCTATATCTTTTTGATCAATTTTGGACACAGAAGGACCACCATTCAAGTGGGACTTAAATATGCCATGGAGGGATATATAAAAGATTTTAAAATAAATATTGTGGGTATTAATTTGGAAGCGAGGGTTTACAGATCACAATGCAGGTGGGAGCTGTCTCATGTTACGTTCGTCACGATCTCAGATAACAACATCCCGGATCAACACTGTTCATGTATCGCAGGGTACGATTAAATTAATTTACATTTAACCAGTTTAATATGAAGAGACCTTCGTTTATGTGTTTTTGCCCTACACTGTACAAGACGCGAGAACAGTCTGCTATTTAGGTTTGTATGGGCTCACTAACTTTAACGTTAGCTAGTTTTAGCCAGAGATACCTTGCTGAAGCACAAGATGACATTAACGTTCTGCTTGAGCATATGAAAATTGTAATTAATGAGAGTATGACAACCAGAAAACGAACGTTGGGATTGGGGGTGAATGCTTTGGGACATTTTGCTCCATTTTGTTTAGGTTTAGGAAATTAAATAATACAAATTCCATTGCCTATCCTCTCAGGATACCTGGAATCATTGTTACAAGTACCCCAGGCACATCGTTTTTCCATTTTTGAAGCATAAACCCCATAAAAACGATGCAAGCTTCGGATCTTCCAATGTTTCTCTATGACGCTGAAACCTACAGATATCCGAGTTCCGCTCCCTGTGCAACTGATACTCGACTGCCATTGGCTCATCTGCGTTTGAGGGGAGGGGCTTATCGATAAGTAAATTGCCTCAATGCACCGGCAAAGTGATTATGAATGTGTCGGGGGAAAAGAAGACATTTTAATTATTTATTAATAAACTAGTGCTTTCTGAATCAGTGTCGGGTGCAAGTTGAAGTTGCCGAATGCCGACGCTAACTCGCCATCCCCACATGGACGTGCCTTTAATAGAAATGTACCTTTTCATATGGACATAATTAGAGAATATTGCAAAATCGATTGGCCGAGTCTTCCTTATATTTATTTTATTATTCATATAAAAAAAATAATAACCTGTTTTGATTATATTTACTATTAATCGCCCAGCTCCCCCTGTCAATGATCTAGCACCCCCTCAGCACCTGTGTTCAAAATTCTCTGGTGCGGCCCCTGGTGTGTCTGTAGATGATCTGACTGTGTGTCTGTAGATGATCTGACTGTGTGTGTGTGTGTGCGTCTGTAGAGGATCTGTGTGTCTGTTGATGATCTGTAGATGATCTGACTGTGTGTGTCTGTAGATGATCTGACTGTGTGTCTGTAGATGATCTGACTGTGTGTGTGTGTGTGTGTGTGTGCGTCTGTAGAGGATCTGTGTGTCTGTAGATGGTCTGACTGTATGTCTGTAGATGATCTGTCTCTGTGTGTGTGTGTGTATGTGTGTGTGTGTCTGTAGAGGATCTGTGTGTCTGTTGATGATCTGTAGATGATCTGACTGTGTGTGCCTGTAGATTATGTGTGTGTGTGTGTGTCTGTAGATGATCTGTCTCTGTGTGTGTGTGTGTATGTGTGTGTGTGTCTGTAGAGGATCTGTGTGTCTGTTGATGATTTGTAGATGATCTGACTGTGTGTGTCTGTAGATGGTCTGACTGTATGTCTGTAGATGATCTGTCTGTGTGTGTGTGTGTCTGTAGAGGATCTGTGTGTCTGTTGATGATCTGTAGATGATCTGACTGTGTGTGCCTGTAGATTATGTGTGTGTGTGTGTGTCTGTAGATGATCTGTGTGTGTCTGTAGATGATCTGTGTGTGTCTGTAGATGATCTGTCTGTGTGTATCTGTAGATGATCTTTCTGTGTGTGTCTGTAGGTTGTCCGGCTGTATGGTATCAGAGGAAGGCTGTGGTTATTTGTCTTCAGCTCTGAGTTTAAACTCCTCACACCTGAGAGAGCTGGATCTGAGCTACAATCACCCAGGACACTCAGGAGTCCAGCTGATCAAACACAAACTGCAGGATCCAAACTATAAACTGCAGATACTCAAGTATGTCCAACACTAATACTGACATACTGAACGTGTGTGTGAATGATGCAGATCTACATTCATGTGTGTTTGTGTGTTTCTAGTGTGGATCATGGAGGAGAGAACAGGATGACAGCAGGACCACGAAAGTGTAGGTCTACACACACACACACACACACACACAGACTGTTGTTTGACTGTATCAATGATCTCATCTCATAGACTTTCATTGTTTTTCTATCAGGTTAATAAGGTCTATAAGATCTTTTTTTAATTAGTTAGCAGTGTCGGTCAGCACCAGGGGGCTTCTTTGCTCTCAAAGATGATTTAAGTAGTATGACACAACATAATGTAAACAGAACAGTACTATGTGGATTCAGCTTTAGAGGAATAGTGGATAGTGAGGACATCTGTGAATAGTAAGGACATCTATGAACAGTGAGCACATTTGTGAATAGTTAGCACATTTGTGAATAGTTAGCACATTTGTGAATAGTAAGGACATATATGAACAGTGAGCACTTGTGAATAGTGAGGACATCTGTAAATAGTGAGGACATCTGAATAGTGAGGACACTTGTGAATAGTGAGGACTCTTGTGAATAGTGAGGACTCTTGTGAATAGTGAGGACATTTGTGAATAGTGAGGACATCTGTGAATAGTGAGGACATCTGTGAATAGTGAGGACATTTGTGAATAGTGAGGACATCTGTGAATAGTGAGGACATCTGTGAATAGTGAGGACATCTATGAACAGTGAGCACTTGTGAATAGTGAGGACATCTGTGAATAGTGAGCACATCTGTGAATAGTGAGGACACTTGTGAATAGTGAGGACATTTGTGAATAGTGAGGACATTTGTGAATAGTGAGCACATTTGTGAATAGTGAGGACATCTGTGAATAGTGAGGACATCTATGAACAGTGAGCACTTGTGAATAGTGAGGACATCTGTGAATAGTGAGCACATCTGTGAATAGTGAGGACACTTGTGAATAGTGAGGACACTTGTGAATAGTGAGGACATTTGTGAATAGTGAGCCCATTTGTGAATAGTGAGCCCATTTGTGAATAGTGAGCCCATTTGTGAATAGTGAGCCCATTTGTGAATAGTGAGCCCATTTGTGAATAGTGAGCCCATTTGTGAATAGTGAGCCCATTTGTGAATAGTGAGCCCATTTGTGAATAGTGAGCCCATTTGTGAATAGTGAGCCCATTTGTGAATAGTGAGCCCATTTGTGAATAGTGAGCCCATTTGTGAATAGTGAGCCCATTTGTGAATAGTGAGCCCATTTGTGAATAGTGAGCCCATTTGTGAATAGTGAGCCCATTTGTGAATAGTGAGCCCATTTGTGAATAGTGAGCCCATTTGTGAATAGTGAGCCCATTTGTGAATAGTGAGCCCATTTGTGAATAGTGAGCCCATTTGTGAATAGTGAGCCCATTTGTGAATAGTGAGCCCATTTGTGAATAGTGAGCCCATTTGTGAATAGTGAGCCCATTTGTGAATAGTGAGCCCATTTGTGAATAGTGAGCCCATTTGTGAATAGTGAGCCCATTTGTGAATAGTGAGCCCATTTGTGAATAGTGAGCCCATTTGTGAATAGTGAGCCCATTTGTGAATAGTGAGCCCATTTGTGAATAGTGAGCCCATTTGTGAATAGTGAGCCCATTTGTGAATAGTGAGCCCATTTGTGAATAGTGAGCCCATTTGTGAATAGTGAGCCCATTTGTGAATAGTGAGGACATCTGTGAATAGTGAGGACATCTATGAACAGTGAGCACATTTGTGAATAGTGAGGATATTTGTGAATAGTTAGCACATTTGTGAATAGTAAGGACATCTATGAACAGTGAGTACTTGTGAACAGTGAGAACATTTGTGAATAGTGAGGACATCTGTGAATAGTGAGGATACTTGTGAATAGTGAGGACATTTGTGAATAGTGAGGACACTTGTGAATAGTGAGCACATTTGTGAATAGTGAGCACATTTGTGAATAATGAGAACATTTGTGAATAGTGAGGACACTTGTGAATAGTGAGCACATTTGTGAATAGTGAGTTCATTTGTGAATAGTGAGGACAGTTTACACACACACACACAGACATCTTCACTGTTGTGTTGTTCTTGATGTTTCTCTCTTCTTGTGTTCAGGGGCCTGTGATCTCACACTGGATCCAAACACAGCAAACACTGAACTCATTCTGTCTGATGAGAACAGGAAGATCACACGCGTGTTTGAGCGTCAGCCTTATCCTGATCATCCGGAGAGATTTGATGGTGTTACTCAGGTTCTGAGTGTTGAGATTCTGACTGGACGCTGTTACTGGGAGGCTGAATGGAGCGGAGATAATGCTGTTATATCTGTGTCATATAAAGGAATCAACAGGAAAGGAGGGAGAGACAGTGTGTTTGGATACAATGTCAAATCCTGGAATCTGATCTGCTTCAGTAACAGGTTCACTGTTCGTCACAATGATATCGACACTGTTATACCTGCTGTCCGTTCATCCTCTAATAGAGCAGGAGTGTATCTGGACGTGTCGGCCGGCTCTCTGTCCTTCTACAGCGTCTCTGACACACACACACTCACACACTTACACACACTCAACACCACATTCACTGAACCCCTCTGTGCTGGGTTTTGGGTTTATCCTGGTTCTTCAGTGGCTCTGTGTGATATTAAACAGCCTCCTGTGAGAATCATCAGTGATCCACACGTCACCAGGTGAGTGAAATATACCGTGTGTCTTAGTGACAGATTTTTACAGACTGTGTTAATAGTTCAGGGCTCTGTTCTTCATACATCACTGAATACATCCCAGTTAATGTGAGACCAGATCTTCTAATTGTGATGATTACTCTCTAGCAAATTTAGTTTAATTGCTTGCATATTTTATTTGTATATTTGCTTGGAGTTGGTGTTTTTACTGAAAAAGACACACATATCGATACTAGAAACCAGGGGTAGAGTCTTGATTTAGTCTAGTTATTAATATTAGTACATACAGTAAAGCTAGCGTGTGCAGTTTGGTGTAGGTTAGCAATAGCAAGCTAGCTTTGAATAGATCCCACTCTTCTTTCAGAGCTCTCTCTCTCAAAAGCCACGCCTCCTCTAAATCACATGACTGCGCACAGACGGAGCTGGAGCCGATTCTCACTATTAACATCATTAACTACAGCTTTTGCCTCACTAAACTCCTAATCTGCTGCTATTTAACAGTTAGTGCGGTAGTTGTTGAGTTTAGGCATTGGGTAGGATTAGGGATGTAGAATATGCTCATGCAGAATATGTGCTTTATGCAGTAAGCACTAATAAACAGCCAATATGTTAATAATAGGCATGCTAATAAGCAACTAGTTAATAGTAAGAACTGGTCCCTATACTAAAGGGTTACCAAATAGATCACTTTACTAATTGATTGCTCTGTGAAGAGACTTTCCACCAGTATACTGTAAAAATCTGTATCGGCAACTGATTGAATTTTTATTTTGTGTTACTCAGTGAAGACTGAATAATCTGTGACTTGTCCAACACTGATTTAAAACTTATTGTTAGAGAATATAGAGTTTGTGGAGGTTAAATATAGCCTGCATTAAAAATAACTTCTTGTCACAATGGCAACGGTGAATGAGTTTAAAAACAAACACTGGCCTTACATTGTCTTGCCCATCTTTACACTATATTTGTATATAAAGTATAGTACTAAAATGCATTATTGTTTATAAATGTGTTTGTTATTAGTGGTGAAAACACAAAAATGAGCTGAAAAAGTAACCATGTTATTTGCTATAATTTACACTAGCTAGCTTCCCTTTCTCTGTGAAACGTCCGGTCACAACAACATGACTTTAATCTGTTTTCATGTGATTTTAGATCTGCTGAACAAGCATATCAAACGCAGAGCTGGAGAGACTGCAGTGCAACCGAATCGCTCCAGTGATGGACGTGACGTGATCTCAGGGAAACTGGAGGAAGTTCATCTGTTTAGGAGAGTCTGAAGCTTCCCTCAGAGATGCTGTGCAAGTCCTCAGTGTAGAAGACGAGGGAATAACTGGAGAACCTGTTCAGCTGACACGATCCCATGCCAAGATAGTCCAACCATCCTTCTCTACTAAAACATTCATTATTAGATGGATAATGGGATGGGACCAACACTGCGATCTTCTTCTCTACATGCACTCTGAAGCTCCTCTCATTCGTCATGTCTACTTTTTTTGTGAAAACACATGTATGCCTCTCTTTCAGATGTGAAATCTATGAATCGCAAATGATCTTGAACTGAATGGTTTCAGCTCTCTGCTTGTAAACGACTCCTAATTAATGTCATTAACATGTAAAAGATCACCAGTCATCGTCTAAATCCTTTAATCCAGAACAGCGAGCTGCAAGAACAGCTTACATTTCCAAAAACCTGCAGCACTCCGACAAGAAAAAGTGTGTCTGCTCAGACCCTGACGTGATGCTCAGCAGTTTTTACAAATATGAGCTCTGGCGTGGATTTAAGCGCACACACAGCCTAAGATCAAATCTGTGAGTACACACACGTTATAAATGATGGCCTATAACACAAATGGAGAAGATAATGTGTGCGTCTGGAATTCACATCACACCAGTACTCTATATTACACACACCATACTCTACTGTGTGAACAAAGAAGAGGAGGAAATACAACTCATCTAGTAATAACAAGAGAGAATGACAATCTGTGAAACTGACAGCCAGGATAACGAGCGTGCGTGTATTTATCTTATGCTTTAATTAGCACAAAGGTTTATATTACATTGGTTAGAGTTTGAGTTCTTCTGGAGTAACCTGAGCTTCAGTCTTCATGGATCACGCTTCGCAGGGTTCAGTCTGTCTCTCTCACGCATGCAAACAATAACCCTTGTGTTTATTACTATTACTTATTGAGATGTTTGTGAGATTTAGCATTTCATTGTTGAATCTTTAACATCATAAGAACGAGTCAGATGTGACCGCAGCAATCCAGAGTGATTTATTCATCACTTCCACACAGAAAGAGTTCATGAACAGTGAAAGTGCAGAAACTCTTTAAATACGAGACAGACCGGAAGTGCAGAGATGATGATGTCATCAGTGCAGCACTCTTTTTTCATTTATTTTACAGTGCAATTGTTTTACAATTTGAATTAGAATGAAGGAATAAATGTCACTGAAACTAATGAATAATTTAGTCAAAAGATTCTTGGCATGGTAGCTTTTCTGCAGTATCGACCAGGCATATATATAAAGATATATCTGATTATAATGTGATGAAAAGCATTTTCTGGTTCTTATCAGAGAAGGATTTGCTGAACTTGTACACTGTCCCTATCAAATAAACTACAAATAATAATATGTATATGTGCTAAACTAAATCAGTTGTGTACTATCACATTAAACTAGCAGTGTGTACTTCAGAGATTTAACTTAACTTCAGTGTGTTATGGTAGGGCAAGATTAAACGCTGGCTCAATTTACCCCACAGCACTTGCCCCATAGCTGCCATTTTGGAAAAAAACTAGCTTGCTTACTAATTCAGGCTAATATTTAGCTAAATGATTTACACGGTTTTATGCATTGCTAAATCACTCATGTGCATCATAAATATTTATAGACCTGGATACATTTACTTTGATGTAACAGCCGTTACATATGTTATGCTAAAATGTTACTTTGACAAGCTAAACACAGTTTTTAAAGTAACTGAGTGCCTTCCACTCCTCCCACGTGTTTCTTCTTTTCACAGTCTGGCAGAAATTATGGGTGGTTTCAAAATACATGCTCACATGAGAATAAAAGTGTACAGCTGGCACGGTAGAGGGCGGGTCAACTTACCCCCTGGCTCATCTTACCCCACTCTCCTCCTGTGTATTTAGGAGAAACAGGAGTACTTTACTCCTTATCAAAGCGGATTTAGAATGGGTAGATCCACAATGGATTCTGTTTCATTATTGGATCTAGATATTAAAAGAGCTTTAGCTAATAAAGAAGCAGCTGTGGGAGTCTTTCTAGATATTGCAAAAGCATATGACACGGTATGGAAGGAGGGCCATTGAAAGGGTTAAATGGTTTAAATTCTTGGGAGTTTGGTTTGAGGAGAGAATGTCACGGAGGGTAAATATAGATCCAATAGTTAATAGATGTGAGAAAGTTATTCATATTTTAAGATGCCTACCAGAAAAGGGTTCTTCAGCTTGTAACAATAGCAGAACCCTTTTATAGGGTTCCATAAAGAACCATGCCCTGAAAGTGCTATATAGAACCTTAAAGGTGCTAAAATTAACCTTTGTAATGATAGTTTATTTTCATTAATATTAGTTGTATTAATATTATTTTAATACATTATTTATTACTATTGTTTTTTTACCCCTCTGTCTGCCTGGTCTATCAACAACAACAACAACAACAACATGTCAATTCAGTATTTTTTATTTTATTTAATGACATGTGAAATTGTAGCAAAAATGACTGATCTAACAACCGTTATTAGCAGAATACATTAATGAATGACAACTGAGACTGAACATAAATAGACACTTAAAGAAGTAAAACAAAAATAGAAACAGAAACTAGTGTTATGAAGACCAAGTTCCGATGAAATACAGTATTTCCACAAACCTCTATGATGCCTGTAAGTCCAGCATTATGTGTATTTTGGTGTGATTGAGAGGCAGCTTCTCTCTGCAGATGACCAGGTTGTAGGATGAGACAGCATCTGAAATACACAACTGAGCTCAGAGTTACAATGCGTCTCCTTCCATTTGTTTTTGTAAAAACAACTATGTTTATGAAGGCCAAAAGCAGTATATGAGCACTTCACAATGTTATGTTTATGCATAAACCCAAGTAATAAATAATAAATACAAAATAATACTTAATTACACAATAATTATAATGACCCAACTTTTTTGGAATTGCGTTTGTATGTAATATCAATTGCAAAATGATATAGAGAATAAAAAGGTAAATAGGGAGTAATGAATAGTACAATAAGTAATAATAATAATAATAACACTAAAAACTATATAATATCTATAAATCATCTATAATTGCTAATCCTTTGTAGGGTTGCAGAGTGCAAGAGCTAAAACCCTTTGAACAAAAACCCCTGAAATGTACACAAGGCTCCCAAGACGGGTTGGCAGGTAGCTGTGGTCACACACAAGTGCAGAGATGTTTACAAAAGGGGATGGAAGGTCTTCAGATTCTTCTGCTGCTCGAGTCGACGACATCTCAACAGCCGATAGGGACACGGTCTCGTTCTGTTCTACCACACTTCCTGAAATGCTTGGTGAGACACCGCACCGGACCATGAGATGGCGGAAAATGCCCTGGAACTGGCCTGCAGTAGGATTGTTATTCCAGCCTCCTAAAAACAAACACACAGACACATTCACAACACTTAAGGAATAGTTGACCCAAAAATGAAAATTAGCTGATAGTGTTGTTTGATCAGGCGAACAATGAAAATCATAGACATACCATCCGAGATGAAATTAGAGTAAATAAATTACAACAATTTTTCATTTTTGTGAGGAACCGTTGTTTAATCTCATGACCCCTCAATCCCACTGCCATCAGTGTTTGTGTTTGCGTGCGAGTCAAAGACGAAGTGTGTTCCAGCATCACAACAATTCAAGTATAATTTCCCCAATAGTTTGACATTTTATTGTCTCAAAAGTTATTTGAAATATTTAAGTAGACAATTTACTTGCATTTAAGATGTTTTTATGCATTTAAAAATGACATTTGTAAATGTAATTTGATGCGGACAACAAAATGGTGACATCTGGTCTTTGACCCATGTATATCATTCAATGTGTGCAGGTGTATATGCGAATGTGTCTGAAAACAGTGGCAGAGAGAAACAGATAGGATTGAATATGACCATAGCCACAATGCTCACAGTTGTTCTAGTCTTAACTAGTACAAATACTCACAACATTAGGCAGAGGAGGTTCCATCTCTTGGGAAATCTGAGAACAGTCCTCAGCTCTCCTGGTTGCCAAAGGCTAAAATAAATATTAAATGTTAACCTTAAATTAGATTCATGCTGCTTAGCCGAAACCAGTAGGTCGGCACAAGAGTCCTTTTGAGAGAAAAAACAGCAATATAAATGAATATCTCGATTACGGGCAATTTAGTTTATGATATATAATTTAACATACGCTAAAACTATACAAGAAAGAATGTAACATTTCTGGTTTCCTAGACTCGCAGCTATTAAGTCTGACTCCGACGTCAATTACTGTCAAGTTTTAATGACCAAATACAACCAGATCAGTGTCAGTCAACAACTTTCCAGTCGTACCTGTGTAAAGTAATTCCCCGAGGCCTCTTCTCAATTGTGCGGCGGTTTGTACAGCCCCAAGCAGCACACGACTGAGGCGTTTTCTCGAGTGCACTTATGAGAACGCTGGAAAAGATGCCCGCACCAAGATGGCGGCGACGCTGACGTACGATCCAGCGGCCAATGAGGCGTCTAGGTATTTATATGTCTAGGGCTCGTGCTCTGCTTTGTGTCCAAACCGAGAGTAAACACTGCGGTAAAGTTGGTTTCATATTCACATATTCGAAGTTATGATTTCATTGTCTGTGCAAAAAGGTTCGTATGAGATTATTATTAGTACTACCATGTATAACTATGATCTACAACTGTGTTTTCTTTTAGAGTCGCTGTCTTTCAAATGCGGATAAAACATTGCTCGCTATGGCTGGTGATGACGTCAGCGATCTCCAAGGGACAGTCTACAAATGACATGACATGTTCTGTCGGATTCATGATAGGTTTAGGTGACACGATTTGGTTCACTATTCAAATCTTAATAACTGTATTTTACATGACACAGAAACTGTATTAAAGAAATTGATAGAAAAATAAATGAAATGCAATACAAAACACATGTATGTCCTTCTTTTAGTTTAGTTCTTCCAGGCATGCGTATGGCTAACATGGGATCTCGAGCGTTTAGCTGTGCTGCTCCTCAGGACATTCGCAGTAGTGACGCTCTCCTTATTTTTAAATCACGGCTAAAAACTTATATTTTGAGAAGGTATACCGGTGATATTGTATATGTATCTTTTAATGGCTGTAAAACTTAAATTATTTATTATGGGCTTTGCATTTTCTGCCTGCAATTGTATTTTATTTTATTTTACTGCCTATAAGGTGTCTTTGAGTGTCATGTAAGGCACCTATAAATAAAATGAATTGTTGTTGTTATAGTAAATTCTGATGAGTTAAACTGATTTTGTAAACATATTATAGCTCAATGCATTCATGGTGGAAGAGATTGTCTGTAGTCTATATTTAATCAATAACATTGCTACTTAAATAAAAAGATCATTTTCGATTTACGAGACAAAGCTCATTTTTGCATCGTGTTTGTTTATAGCCTACTACACACTGCCCTGTCTGCCCACACCCATGGTGCTGAACGTGAAAAATAACCTTTAGCGTTTCATTTCTTCAGAATCCATTTAAGTTCACATAATTTTTGATAGATTTCTCAAAAACAAAATTTAACAGATCCCAAACAACATTAATTCACCTTTTGAGTATTTTTTTCTCCCCAATCACGTTTTTATTTAAAATATGTTTACAAACAGATGTAAAAATGTGAAAAGAAACAGATTTAAACGCTTTTAAATGATCTGTAATGTGTTTCTGTAGCCTTACTGAATATACTAAACGTTTCATCTGAGCGGAACGTTGCCAGTGTTTATTTAATGCGAAGCATATTGAGATCAATACATCTCACATGGTACCACGTGTTATTTTAAACTTGTTTACAATGTCCTTCTTTAAGCTTACTGAATAGACCTATGCTAAAGGCCAGGCACATTTTCTTCAGATAAGCATTAATAAACACACTGATATGTTTTACGCCAAGGTCGCTGTTCAGGTTTGTGGTGCTGAAAACTCGTTGTTCCACTGCAGGACAACATGCTGGACATTTACTTAAACGAGACAAAAGTTATGATTAAGTAGTGCTGATGGATGACAGAATTAAACGTGTAAAACAGAGTTAAAACGAGTAAAATCGTGTTGTTTACTTGCTGCTGCATTTTGCTGACTAAATTTTGAGCAGACAAAATGTGATCCGTAACATACTACAATTTCAAGAGGGTTCGAAGTTTCACAAGAAATGATACACGGGGCAACTATTTGAGCAATGTTGATAGCAACAATGAAAAGGATAGTGTAGATAATTTAATCAGTTGACAAATGAGAAAAGACGCAATTTAAAAAGCAAGAAAATGTTTGCATTTTCGGTGAAATTATATAGCCTACAGATACAAATACAATGGAACATATCATACATTTGTGCAATGGTACAACGTGCAGTGTTGGATTTTAAGATGTGATTAAGACAAAGACATGCCGTTAAAGTTTGCTAAATATATTTAAAAGATCATTATGTGTGTATGTATGTTTGTAGGTCGTGTGTTTTTACGTACCTTTTGCTCTGAGCAATTTAGACTACACCTTTTGAGTGCATCTTGCAATTGTGTTTGAATATTTCATTTGGTCTAATCAACAATATAGGACTATTGTGTTAGCAATATATAAATTGCTGTATTAAACAACATGCGTTTAGTTCAAGTGCTTGAAACACCAACTTTGGACGCACAACAGAAGAGGTGTCAGGGACCAATTAAATCAGGCAATGGCTTCGAGTAGGCCTACACTTTCACAAACATCTGTACCAAAGTTGCTGCAACAAAGTGATGGAACAATGGAAAATAATGGTACGTTTTTTTCCCCCACATTAATGTTAACTCTGGTTAGTTTGTTTTGAGAAAAATACCTATGTTTTTCCTGTGAACTGAAAATATTATTTTCTTACAATCTACCCATTTAACCAAAAAAAAAGCATCAATTAATCTTTTACTAGAATGGGTGTATGAATAGGCTTATACACTACAAAATGAATCCACCCATTTCACCTAAAAAGCTTTACACAATTTAACATTCAATAAAATTATTACCACACGTCCCGATAAAAAACTATTCCAATTAATTCAACAATCCACCGTGTCTTTAGTTCACACAAAGTTTGTCCTAATTTACTCACCCTCGGGTTGTTTCAACTGTTGTAATGTCCTTTGTTCTGCTGAACAAAGGAAGAAATGTGGAAGAAAGTGTGGAACCAATGAATTCCGGTGGGAAAAATACTATAGAAGTCAACGGCGCCCCAAAACTCTTCGGATTCCCACATTCTTCAATATATTTTCGTTTGTGTTTTATTAGGTGTTTTAAACAGGTTTAGAACAAGTTGAGGATGAGCAGACGGGATTTTCATTTTTGATATTGTCATTCATGTTGTGCCGGAACACATATGCTATTTTATACCAATCCCACACAAGCAGACTACTTGATTTGTGTGACCTGTTGTGCTCTAAACAACAGCACTTAACCTCAAATTATAGCGCCTGTTCCACACTTGACGCGCAAGCAGAGCGGATTCCCATTGTGCATTCACATAGCGTTTGCGCCGCGCAGCTGAACCGCGGCTTTTGTAGCTACTGCATAAACAGACAAGCATCTTCGAATGAGCCACCATTTTCGGGCATTCTCTACCTCCGGCCACGTGCCACGTGTTTTGATCTGTGCAAGACAAGCATAAGCATACGATGCCACCGTATTCTCCTGCTGTCCCACACATGTGTATAACATGCTGTAGGCCTATACAAGTGTTGTGATGTTAATTATTTCTATTTGGTTTAATTTAATCTAATTTAATTGTATGATTATGTATAATTTTTTTAATAAGTCTTTGTAATAGACAAACAATGCCGTGGTACGCAACAAAAGGCAAAACCTAATATTTTTTTATTTGTACAAATTGAAATAACGGTTTTGTATTTGAAGATATTTTAACATTTAATTGATTTCTGTGATTTCAGCATAATTACTCCAGTCATCAGTTTCACATGCATGGCCGTATCCAGGGTTCCAAATCGGGGGGTTTGTTAAGGATTGTTCAATTGCTGTATAAGTAAAAATTGTGTCGAATGCATGCCCAAAGCATAACTTTGTGAATGGCAAACTACTAAACTGAATGCAATAGCATGCATAGCTTTCATCATAGCCAGCCCAGCGTTTTCATTTCTGTTGTTCTACAGATTTGTTGTACAAGAGTTATTATGCTACTGTTTTGATAGCGTTGATGCAGTTTAGTACTGATAATATTATGTACTATATTAATATAATGATGATCATTATATCGTATATATCGTATGTCTTACCGAATGTAGCCTCCTCTTTTTGATTTCTGTTCAATGAAGTGTTGCCAGATATTGCTAGGAAAAATCCAACCATAACAATCCCCCAAAATGCACTGAAATAAGTTTGGCGTTTTGCAATAAGTTAAACAGTCGCTAACCACCTTCCTTATTTCTTTAGTAGGCAAAACCTACAATTTTTTTATTTTTACAAATTAAAATAACGGTTTTTGTGTTTGAAGATATTTGAACATTTAATTGATTTATGTGATTTCAGCATAATTACTCCAGTCATCAGTTTCACATGCATGGCCGTATCCAGGGTTCCAAATCGGGGGGTTGTTAAGGATTGTTCAATTGCTGTATAAGTAAAAATTTACCCAAAAGCATAACTTTGTGAATGGCAAACTACTAAACTGAATGCAATAGCATGCATAGCTTTCATCATAGCCAGCCCAGCGTTTTCATTTCTGTTGTTCTACAGATTTGTTGTACAAGAGTTATTATGCTACTGTTTTGATAGCGTTGATGCAGTTTAGTACTGATAATATTATGTATTATTATATTAATATAATGATGATCATTATATCGTATATATCGTATGTCTTACCGAATGTAGCCTCCTCTTTTTGATTTCTGTGCAATGAAGTGTTGCCAGATATTGCTAGGAAAAAACCAACCATAACAATCCCCCAAAATGCACTGAAATAAGTTTGGCGTTTTGCAATAAGTTAAACAGTCGCTAACCACCTTCCTTATTTCTTTAGTAGCGCTGACATATTAAGTATTAAAAACATAAAACACATCCTATGTTGCTTAGAATATGTAAATCTGGCAACACGGCAGAGCGGAGGCTGCACCCGCGCCCTCACTCCTCTCTCTCCAGCTAGTTCACTCAAACTGCGCGTCATAAACATGAATTTATTCAGGGATTTAAAATGGCTTTTTTTCATTCAGACAAGTTTTTAACATGACAATTTTAACAAGGTGCGGACCTCTGTGACTTAATGCCTACAGCCATGGTCACATTATCCTTCAGAATTTGTGGAAATATGCTAGTTAGATGCTCATGTAACACCTTCTTCTTATTATAATAATAATAATAATAATGTAGAAAACTGCTGTGCTTAACATTTTTGTGGAAATGTTTTGAACTCTTTGATTAAGTTAAATGATTAATTCATATCCTATAGTTGCATTTATAACTTTTTTTCCCCATTTATTAAATAACTTTAAAAAAAATCTTTTGAAACCTTGTAAATGGCTTCACTGTAACCTTTGATGAATTTACTGCATCCTTCATGGAAAAAAAGTTTTAGTTTCTGTTTTTTTTTATTATTATTATTATTATTCTGACCACAATTGTTTCAATGGTTTTGTTTTCACTCTGATGTTAATAATAAATGTTACTTCAGTACCAATGATTTCTGAAGGATCATGTTATATTGAAGACTAGAGTAATGATGCTGAAAATGTAGCTTCGACATCAAAGAAATAAATTACATGAATAAAGTACATAATGAATGTTCAATAATGACTACACTTGTCAAGTGAAATAGCTGTTAGACAATTATTGTATTGCATACAACTGTATGTTATAAATGAAGCATGCAGTGATTATTCAATTTGCATTCCCACAGGCAAAACAGTGTGTGAGAAAGGAGAAGAAAAAAAAAAAGGTGGATTCTGAGGACATGGAACCTCTCAGAGCAACAGACACTGTGGAACCAGACCACTACTCTGAGGACATGGAACATTTCAGGGCAACAGCCACTGTGGAACCAGAGGATAACTCCAGGGAGACAGAAGAATGGCGAAAAACAGAAATACATTTTCGACAATTTGCAATCTCTCTCAAAAGAAAAACATGGAATACAATATGTCCTTTACTGGGATCTACAAGGCTAAGGCAGCCATGGAGCCATCTATATGACGCCTTCAAGCAAAAAACTCCTTGCTGCACACTGTCGTTCAAATATCAACACATCAAACCCTTGCAGAGTAGGAAAAAGAACGCTCCATACATGCACATTGTGGCTGTCTGCGCATTTAAATCCTGCAATGCCAAATACATCTTCAAAATTCAAAACAAACCATCCAAATCCATCAACAGTGTGAGAATCTTGGTCACTCAGAAAGGTAAAATTCAGCACAAAATGAGTGAGAAAAACTTTAGGCCAGCAAGTCACATAAAAAGAGGCAAAATTGCTCGATCGCTCATCCATGGGCCCAGTCAGTATTTCTACAGAAGGCTAAGTTCAACACCCACAGAAGAGCTGTTGGCTGGAAATATGACCAGCTGTCTCAATAAAAATGTCCTGAAAACAATAAGATGGTAAGAAGAAACAGCAACTTGCACAGTGACATACTGATTGATGTGCACATCACACAGATGACTTTAAGACAGTGCGATACCATTTATTACAGAATACCTGGCTACGTCCAACATTTCAGTATGGACCCTTTTGGCGTCCATTTATTCACCGAAATGGGGATCTGCATACTTGTTGAACACTTAAGAAATAAGTCTCCTGTCAGAGAAAGAAGTAAGAATATTAATATTACATACAATAAAAATGGCCCAAAAAGCACTATAAACGGTTAAGCAGAAAGATTTTTATAATTTATTTTATTTATTTTAATTGGATATTTAATTTAAGAGAATTTATTCAAGTTTGTCATTGTAGGTTGACGTGTTGTGGACAAGTAAACCAACGGAGCTGATTGTAGCTATTCTGCAGGACCCAAAAGAATAAAAACAGTACCTGCTCCATCACAGTACTTTCCAGACACTGAAGCCCCATGAATAGTTATTTGGTGAGGTATGCTATTTCATTAGCTTAGAAGTGTGTAATATTTCCAGAGAATTATCTCAGTAATTTTGATCTTTTTCCTAAGAGAACAAAAACAAGTCCGAAATTTGCCGGTGTTTTTGTGCTGGTCCCCGGTTTGGTTTAGGGAAGAATTTTTCATTTTTAATGATTGCATACAACTACGAGACTACAACCGCCAGCAGGTGGGCAGCAAGTCGAAGTGATTCATTGAATCGTTCAATCAACAACAAGAAACAACGACCGTTCATTTAGACCAGAGATGCCAAACTTGTGCCGTGATGATCTTTTGCCATGCCAAAAGAGGAGAAGTTTAGCCAAGTAAAAAATGTCATTGAATAAGATGTGCACTGGTATTCAGTAATACGTGTTTTTACTTTGAAAAATGTGAGACTTGGGCAGTGGAAGGGGGGGAATACAAGGTCGCAAGATGCGTTTTTTTTTACTTGAAAAGTGAAATTTTATTATGAGCGCTGTTTTTGTCATGCGCAAGACTCTGCAAACGACGCAAGCGTAATGGTCAAACATGCCCATCAAAACAATGGAAGTGTAGAGCAGTGAAATGGAACAGCACGTTAATGCCTATTGTGTTCTCCATCTGACTGAAGAACGAGAGCATAAACAAAGCCTATATTTAGAAGTACCGGTATGTCTGAAGGAGGACTGCTTATGACTATGGGGTGGAAAGAGATCAATCCAATAATAAAAGTGCATTATGAAATGTACGTAATAATCTTTTGTGCAATTATTATCTTTACAGTTAGGCTATTAGTTAGGAAACAGCTGTGGTGTGATGAGCGGTGAACGGAGCGAAAACTTTACAGTAGATGGGGAGCCGATTGCTCCCCCATGATATTCTGTAAACTGTATTTATGGCAAAGAACTGCACAGATGCAGATATTATAACAATCTATCAATAAACACACACCTCGTCCTCTGTTTCTCGCTCTGCGCCGCCGCGGTCTGCGGATTGAAGAAAGCGCGGAGCCGAAGTCTGCCGCTGTTTTCATATGAAATTAAAATTGGACCGAGGCGATCACGAATTCGATCACAAAAAAATGGCCTAGCGACGCCCATGTATATCCACAAATGTGTGTCACGTTTGAACAAAGTTCCTTTACGAAAACTAGCCATGGTTTTATTGTAGCAGTCAATCAGATCACAAATTATAGTTAGCCATGTAAAAATGGAATTTGGTTGCTTATTTAATTATGCTTTATTTAATTCAATATGATTATTGATTGATTTATTTGTTATTTTGACTTTTTTTTAGTTCAATCAGTAAATGTTCACTTTAAAAGTGAAATACAACTTTACTTTGCATGTTTGGATTTTGCTCAAACTATTATTCATTGTAGTATGAAACTTTGAAAATAAAATTTGATCGGTCCCACTTTCTATTGGCCTTAACTACTATGTACTTAAATTTAAATTCATAATTTGATACAATGCACTTATTGTATACATAATTTTTTTTACATTGTACTTATAATTTAAAAAAACCTGCATGTAATTACATTATAATTAATTTATAATTAAACTGTTGACCCATCCTTTTCACCTTAACCCACCCTTAAACCTACCCATACCACCAAACCTGTCCCTGACCATACCCGTATCCCACCTCAATAGCAGCAACTGTTTTGCAATACAGTATTAACACAACAGGTACACTGTACATATTTTTTTGATGTAAGTACATTGTAGTTAAGGCCACCTAATATAGAGTGGGACCAAATTTAATTGATATAGTGCAACTTTTAGTGTCCGCCCATGGACCTCAGTCAAGTTTGATTTTTGGCCCTTTGTTGTAAAAGGTTTGGAGACCTCTGATTTAGGATATTTCTTTATGGATAGTTCACTGAATGGTGGACTCCAATGATTTGATCAAAAACAGAATAATTCAGGAATTAATCATTGCACTGTTGCTCTGAGATGCACTTGCAGAACACCAATACAGAACATAAATTTCACCAAAGGGTTTTTCCCACGTTCCAAAGACTGTAGTAGGTTCCTAGTGACCAGACTGACTTACTACAGGCAAGATTTCAACCTTCAGTGAAATACAGTACTACTTTCCATAACTTATTTTTGTACTGTACATACAGAAGGGGAAGTATTGATAAAATCTTTGCTCACCATGGTCACCAGGAACCTACTACAGCCGTTGGAATGTGGGAAAAACCTTTTGGTGAAATACAGTACTGCATTTATTAAACTATTTGAGCACTGTACGTACAGTAAGGGAGATTTTGACAAAATACTGGCTGTAGTAAGTCAGTCTGGTCACCAGGAACCAACTACAGCCTTTGGAATGTGGGAAAAACCTTTTCGTGAAATACAGTACTGCATTTATTAACATTTGTGTACTGTACGTACAGTAAGGGAAAACAGGAAATGTTACATTCTCTGAATTATGCATAAACATCTTGCATTTTTATTGAACTCCAGTCAAAAGTGTTGAAACTTAACTGCAGAATGGTGCAGAGTAGAACTCTATGTGTTCAGCACTATGTGTGTGGACAGCAGCCAAATTAAATGGGCCTGGTGTGTCTTTATGTAAACAGGTTTCTTATCTCCATACTCATTTGAAGTTAAACTAGTATGCTCAGAAGGCTGTAAGTAAGAAATTACAGCATGTTTTGAATCTTTGTATGTTAGAATAGAGCTCTGTATGTTACAATATATCAAACTCTGCAAAGCTCAGTAAAAGTCACAGTCCCCAAACCATAAGCTGTAGTGCGTCTTTTGGATGGTGCTTAATAATACGTGTTTAAGTGATTTGGGGTTAATTTGTGCAATCAGTAAAATTGATTGAAACTTCAAGGTGCAGGTGGGAGAATCTAGGAGATCATCTAAATCACAATCCAGGCACAAACTTAATATAATATTTATTCATTAAAAGGAAATGAAAATACAGTTATTGCAATACACTGACACACAGCAAAACTGCGTGCCTTCAGCTCCACACGTCTGTACAGTGATGTGATACAAGCACAGAACAATTCATCTTAACAAAATAATTTTGCCAATTGCAATGTTTATTTGAAGTTAAACATTTAACTGTAGTATATTCATTAAGGCTAAAAAGGAAACTTTAAAAACAAGCCGTACCACCATATAAAATGTATTGAGCTATACATTGGATAAAAGCGTCTGCTAAATGACTAAATAAATAAATAAAATACATGCTGTAGTATTACAAAGTCAAAAGAACTCAGTAGACATGACCATACTCATACTATGAGGTGTAGTGAGTTTTTTGAAGTGTGTTTGATCAATTAAAAGTTAAGGCCAATATTTATAACCATTAAAAATATATTAAAATTATAAAGTGAATCTATACTATGTTCAAGAAGTTTTCGAACTTGTTCTAAAATAATTTTTTATGTATATATAAATCAATAAAGTACACAGTGTACTATTTTCACGCAATACAATATGGAATAAATCAAGGAAATCAGACGCATTTTTAAGGACTGAAGTTGTTTCCGCCTGCCGCTGCTTACACTTTTTAGACGCTCCCTTACTTTTCCAGCGCACAGAGAAAGATATTCAGAGGAGATTCAGCGAAAATATGAGAGTAGATCATTAATATTATATATTTCTTGATTAAATTAGTTGTAGCTGTTTGTCAAACATTTCAATATTATAATTATCTTAGGTTAACATTTTTGCATCCACTGTTGGAAAGATATTGAAAAACAAAGTCCGAAATGTGAATATGAAACCAACTTTACCGCAGTAAAGTAAACTCAGCAAAGAGACGCGCATTTAGAAGATCGCCATTAAATCCTAAATAATAAGACGAATATCGAATACAGTAAGTGCATGCATCGTCTTCTGATATATTGTTGTGTTATTGTTGGAGCTGTTTTCGCTGTTAAACCATTTTAAAGAGTTGTGACGCATGTAGAAATGAACAAGTTTATCTTCAGGATGATAAAGATATCCAGCTCTGTGCATTCTGCTTTTAGCTCAGATTAATTTATGGATTCATTACCGTCTAGAACACAGAAAGAAAGAGGTACGCATTAAATATGAAGCAGGTTCGCAGATGTTCAGGTTTAGTGAGAGGCAGATATTCTCCGGTGGGTTTGAGGGTTTTCATCGTTTTAGAACCTTTGCTTGAGTTCATCGATTTTGTGTGAAATTCAAGAGTATTGCAAACTTTACAGCCTCCTCACTCGCAAAGTGCAACACTGAGTTTTTAATCTGTCATTTTCCATCAGGAACGGGTTAAATACTGTATTTGAATGTAAAGTCAGTCTTATGTGATTTATATCATGGTATTACAGAGGATTTTGTTTGTCCACAAGGTGGAACAAATCTGCCTCAATCCAATGGATTTTAAATACTTTTGCTCTTTTTTAACTTACTGCATTAATTGATATATATATATATATATATATATATATATATAATAATTTATATAAGAATATTAATTAATAACATGAAATACACTCAAAATGCAAAATGTTAAAGAAAGTTTCAAGTGAATGCTCGAAATACATTATTTGGGTAACACTTTCAAATAAAACATTAATATCTGTAACGAATCAGCTCATGGGAAATATGAATAATTAATCATAACTAGTTATAATTAAGCATACAGTTGCTATAGGAAAGGGTTAAAGCTTAAGCAGTAAAGAGCAGAGAAATAAAAATATGAAGTTATGGTACCATTTGATATTCAGCTGATCTAACGCCTGAAGGAAACATCAGATTCTTAGTTCAAACACACCTTTGTAAAAAGTTTGACTAAGTTTGGATACTTGCACGTCTCGTCTGTCTGAAAGAGGCTTGATGCAATCTGAAGGTTCACGTTGATCTTTGCTGAAGTTGGTTGATGAAAAAGAACCAGTTTTGAGTCAGAGAATCTTGGTGAATGGAAAAGTCAAGGCCGAAGCCTGCACGAGCTTAGGGTGTCCTCGAGCGTTTGCTCACATCTTCTCAGAACCTAACAGAACCACCGACTCTGGGCGGGTCACTGATGTGAGGCCTTTAAGGTCGGAGAAGATTCACGCCTCTCAAGATGGGCTTGTCCAATGAGAAAGGCTGACGTCCCAAGTGGGGGTTTGGAAATACTGGGGAGTTTATGACTCTTTGTGTGAGGGCATGGTCATTTGCATATGGAACTTGAATCGAAATTACTAAAGATTCTCAGGACACTAATATATTGCCTATGTACCAACATATAATATACACTCTCGTTTAGATCACCAGAAGACTAATTCATAGATACTAAACATGGTAAGATTACATATACAGTAGGTAAGATGACAGGAATGAGTGTTTCCATCATAAGCCTGCATAAAACAGTATAAAATCTCAAAGACAACATACACAATGACCTGAAGGATATGTGTGCTCATTCAAAGAAAGGTTTTCCTATGAATTAATTAGAGAAGAGTCCATTTCTACTGTGCACTGTCTTTCCTATGGAAATTGTAGTGAGAGGGGTAATTCTCAACATGCCATTAGGTCGTAAATGTATCTGGTCTAGCAGAGGTGTCGTGGTTGCTATGGGGACCAGGGGGGGCCTGGTGTCGTTGCAGACATCCTGGCACCCAGTTTATTGGGTGAGGGGTCTGTGACAATTTGTTAATCTAATGAAAAATTGTGTTTGATTGGTCCAGACGCTACACATTAACTAATGGAACCTTATTGTAAAGTATTACAATTATTTGTTATTTAATATATACATTCAGAAAACACTGTTAAATTAAACAGAAAAGCAAGCAGGTGTGCATGATTTGGCATTGCAGCCAATACAATCAATAACGGTTTCCTTACTTAAATCCTGCGTTTGGACCAGGCTCGGTTGCAGAATCACATCACTCTGTGCTTCTGAAATTATTGTCTGTAGTAATAGCTATTAGCTAAATTGTGTGAAAATAACAAACCATTTTTTTTGCAAATTTGCTGATTTTGACCCATTTTGCCAACACAGGTCACAAATGTATTTTCTGCAATAAAAACTCTATAGAGCCGTATTAAAGTGTCTGGTTTGTGATATTTAAATGATGATGCCAAGATAACTTAAACTTTTAGAAGGGGAGAACATAAAATAAACACCTGCAGTAGTATGTTTGCATAAGCGTGCATTATTTAACTTTTTCAAATGTTAAATATTTGAAGCAGCTCTCGTCCAGTTTCTCTTTCGCTCTCCAGTTATACTGTGATGATCATGATATATGAATCACTACATGATTTGTAGTTAATTGTGTTACTGATCGTGTTTGTTTGGTGAACACAGTGAAACTCATTGTGGAGAAGAGCAGCTATCACACATTTGACAAATATAATAATCTGCAGGTCTGAGATTTGAGGGGTTTCCAGCAGCGCTTCAACAATGAAACATCAGCTCTGAATATAATCTTCATCAGATGTGAGGATCAGTTAGTTGATGTGTGTGAGTGACGTCACGTTACAGCAGCAGAAACACATCCAGCTCTGAACAGAGTCCTGCTTTTCTCCTGCTGCTGAAGTCAGATATGTTCAGTAAGACACAAGAGCATCAGTGAGCTCAGATACTGACGATGCTCATGAGGAGCACTCTTCAGATCTTCTTCACTGCAGTCAGTAAAGCAGCACTTTATGCATTCAGAAGAACAAACTGCTGCAGCTCCACATTCTCTTCAATCTCATTGTGTGTGCAGCGTTAAGATTGCTTTTCACTGCAATCACTGGAATAATAATCACAATATTACGTGTCGTGTGTTCTCTTGTGTTTCCATATGCAGGACTGAAGTCAGTTTGTGATTATGGAGAGCAGAGAGAGCAGAGAGAGATCTTCATCTGCTGATCACAGCTGTGTGTCTCTGAAGAGTGATGGATCTATGCCTCATCCTCCTGACCTCAGTGATGATCCAGTGACCTCTGACCCCAGGTGAGATATAATCCAGTGTTGGACGCTACAGACTGACTTGTAATAAATGAACAGCAGACAGAACTGAATGAAGAATGATTTCTGTGTGTTTATTTGGATCTTCAGGAGGAGGAAGAGGAAGAGATCTTCATCTGCTGATCACAGCTGTGTGTCTCTGAAGAGTGACAGATCCATGCTGTATAATCCTCCTGTATTCAGTGATGAAGCAGTGACCTCTGACCCCAGGTGAGGATAAACGTGTGGTGAGGATTGAACTGCTTTATGGCAGTCAAAAACACACTCAATGCACACAGACAGAACTCCACACAAACACATGGGCACCTATATAAAAAACTCCAGGAGTGCAATGAAGATGTAATAAATATATATGAAATGTCATGAAAATATCTAATAGTGTGTTTTCTTAAATAAAGGGATTCAAGACATTTACAAGCAAAATTATTTATTAGAATACAAAAAGCACACTAGTTTTTTAACCCAAGTTAACACGCAGTTTAATACAGAACTATTTAAAAACTTGTATTTAATAATTATGTGATTATTTATAGGTCTACTTTAAACACAGTGTGTAACCAAAAATACCAATATTAACCAGGAAAAAAAACAAAGCAAAAACTGTTTTTTAAAAATATATTAAAAAACAAAACAAAACAAAGCACAAAAATTAAGTCCCAAACTAGTTTTTGTTAATACAATTAAGTTGTATGAGCCACTACAGTCGATTAAACATATGCAAAATGACACAAAGTGAAAATAACATGGTATTTTTGGGTTATGGAAACAGTTACCATGGTGAATATACAATACTAGCATGAACTGTTAATGAAATGTGGAAACTGCTCCTGAATAGAATGAATATCATACCTTCATGCAAATCCTTCCCAGCTAACACAGCAGTGTTAATTTTGACAGCAAATTTTGATTTAGTTTTAGTCGTAGTCCTTTGACTAAAATGCCATTTAGTTTTAGTAACATTTTGGTATTCTGAATTGTTTTTAGTTTTAGTAGACTAAATCTACAGTAAATGTACTCGAATAAAATCTAATGGGTTTAGTTACAGTCCATTTATGAAGCATTTCTCTAAAATTTCCAAACTCATTATATAGGTGTAACACCCATGTGGACAGTTTATTGTGGTTTCTTCCCCTTTTGTTGGTTTAGCCCGTACTATCATTAGTTAATTACCCTCATTGTGCTCACCTGTCTGCCACTAATTATCCACCCTATATCAGTTCCTGTCCATTGTGTTCCAGTTTGTCGGTTATTGTGAATGTTACCCCGAGTGTGTGTTGTGTGTGTCGTGTGTGTCTCACCTACCCGAATGTGCCTTGTTGTGTCTACATTAAATATCATTATTGGAATCTGTGTCATCCTCGTCATCCTGCCTGCCTCCACACACCATGACCGTGATAGAATAACCAACCAATAAGTGAAGTATAGTGGCGTCTTTCCCCTCGTTTGGTTTTCCGGTTTTTGTCAGTTTTTATTTTCATGTTATGGATTACCCAGCCTTCCAAATCCTCTTTCTGGAGCAGGGGGAACGCTCTCTTGAGGACCACACGAACGACTTTCTGTCCCTGGCTCAACTCACGCACTACCCGGACAACTGCCTCTGTACATTCTATCAAGTTGGACTTAACGCCACCACACGAGCGCAGTTGTCCGGAGATGGTCCTCGAGAGAGTCTTGCCGCCTTCATCGAGTGGGTGCTGGTGTCCTGCAAGTCCCATCTAACCTTGGACATCGCTGACAACAACACCAGCCCCACTCAGGACTCTGAGCCCAGCCCACCATCTCCCCGTGGTATGGAGCATAAGCCTGAGCCCACTGATGACGGAGAGCTATTTCCCGCCTCGATCCACGAGCCGGAGCGAAGCCCCGCGGCTGAGAAGAGGAT